AAATAAAGATCAGAGTTTGACCATTTGAAATTAAAATGAATTACACATAACTGTAGCTTTAAGCAGGAAATTGAACCAAGGTAGAAGAGTCCAATTTAGGTATATCAAACGATAGAAAATAAAATCGTAACCCACAAGAAAACAATCAAATGGATGCTAAACACATCTGACTATATACAATGTACGGTGTACATATAAATTCACTAGAGCAACTGATAGGTTATATGTTCAAGTTTTCAATGAATCTCCAGTGATGAATTTGTATGATATTGTACTACAAACCAATGTTGTAATGACTCAAGTCAGTCCATGACTGGGACTTGGGTTCACTTTAGTCCCATTTTGTGTTGGCTTGACCTAAAAGTTGCCAGCCTAAATGGTACAGTCCACTAATCCAAGTGTAAACTCAGCACTGTTCAGGGCCCAGTAGCATGCATACCAACATCCCCGAGATTTCCTAAATAAACAAAAATCAAATTATTGTCTTGTCCCTAATCTTTCAATTTCTTTTTAATTTTTTGTGGGTGAACCAATCACATTTTTAATTATTCTCATAAAACAAAATCACCCCCAAAAAGTGAATTTTCCAAAGTTTGAATGTGGCCATTTTTCAATTGGGAACCCTCAACTTCCTCTGGCACTTAGGACCATTTTTCAACTGCAGTTTTTAGCCATTCTGCTCTCATATGAAAGCTCAAAGACCCTGGGAGTTGATCCTTGCAAGGATTTACACAATCTCACCACTTTGGGGTTCAAACAGTCTCCTTTTTCAAAGATACTGGCGGTGCACTTTTAATGCTAATGAGCTGGCCAGAAATTCTCACTTAAATAAGTGGACTGCACCCTAAAATGAATTGACCTGGACTTGAGTCACTGTGTAACATTACTTGACCTGGACTTGAGTCACCGTTTAAAATGACTTGACCTGGACTTCATTCACTGTTTAAAATGACTTGACTTGGAATTCAGTCACCGTTTAAAATGACTTGACTCAAACTTGACCATTCTAGCTTCGAGGGCAAGAAAGAAATGAAATTAAACTCATTCTCAGTTATGACATGATCATGGGGATGACATGATCTTTACAACTGCAGTATATGTAGTGAGAGACAAGTAGGTTGTGAGGGTCATATATTTAAAACCGCAATGATTAGTTGAGAATGGACCTTTCCCATGATGCAAATTAGACAGGTGCATGCGCGCTTCTACTATTGGTTGGCAAGCGCAGCCATTAAGATTGCGGGCAGTGTAGGAGAACTGCTGCTAACCTGGCATGTTGAAGGTCAAACAATACTGTATCACAGCCTTTGGAAAATACTTCAGCTCACTTTTCTTGAAATGAGGAGAAGTTACCAATGCCCTGAGGTTGCTAAGTAACAATTCCTTGCCTTTAACTTTGACATGTATGCATGTCAGTCTATGCTAGTACAGAAATGGCATGTATGTGCTCATATTTGGGCGTCCATGGAGAGTCTATTGTTACGTCACAGATTTAAGCAACTTTGCCAACCAGTGGTTTCGTAGTAATGCGCGTGTGCCTGCCTTATTTGCATATTTCATGGGAAAGGTCCATGGATTCAACAGCCTTTATTTTGATCACCAGTCTAATTTTACTAAGGGACCAAGTGTCAGATGACTTGACTTGAGACATGAAGGCAATTAGGCTTGACTTAATACGCAAGTAGTGGAAAACTCATTCCAACGCTGCCCCGCACACAGTGTCTAGCAAGTCCATGGAGCTGGACTGTGTGCTGAAATTGAACTGTACAACTCCACTGTTGTGCATAGCTAGTGCAAAATAGGAAGTTACAGTGATAAATATCATAAAATATACTTATGACAACAAAGACTCAGCATCAGTGGTGTTTGACTTAATTTTAAAATGTGTCTGGAGCATTTCTTGCCATTTCCAAAACCTGTTTTCTGCCAAAAACAAATGTGGCAGGAACCATTTCGATATTGACAGAGGGAGACAAAATATTAAGGACTTTCTGCATAATTTTTCTCATTTCTTAATCTTGATGCTGCCCGGTCATAATTTACCTTCAGTTTTGTTGTACACTGAGATACTCAACTAAGACTAATCAATACTTACCAAGGCATGGAACGCTGTTCCTCATTTCCTGTGCCACAGATTCTTAACCAAATAACGACCGTCAAATATTGCTTAATTACCCGTCTTTAAAAAAAGAGTGGTACGCTGGGTGCAGTGTGCGCTTGGGCAACATGTTGTGACGGGATATCCTACTGTAAATTAAGCTACTGCAGTGGCAGATTTAGGAGGGGGCGCGCTTGGTACATTCCCACCTAATAACTGCCTGCACAACAATCAATTTTGAATTGACTCCAGTGGGTTGCATTTTGACCCTCCAAGTTTGCGTCCCCTCTCTACCTTTTTGAAAATCAAATAATTCATGCAAATGTTACAACTCATAACAACATGTCAGTCATCACTTTACTCCACAGTATTGCCTCCAAAAACGCATGTTGTATGCTGCCCTCTGCTGCATGTGGTGGAGTGCTGATGCAGGAGAGTGGCCGGAGAGTTACAGTTTTTTTACTTATTACTAGAGTGTCAAGGGTTCGAATCCAGGGACTGGCCGTTAGTTGTAATTGGGCAATCCACTTCAACCTGACTTGCCTCTCTACTGGTATCCCCTGGGGAGCAACCTTCCCATGCACTGGCATCCTGTGCTGGGAGGAATAGAAATATTCTCAGCCATTTCATGTTTAAGGAAACTGGAGATAATACCAGATGATAAGCCAAATTGGCTCGAAATAGATTTACTGTCTGCATGTATATTTAAAACTGTTGTCTTAGAATTGCTTAAGAAATAAAAATCCCTAAAATCACATTGAATGTCCAAATTTTGTCAGGATATACAAGCTTTCAATACCAAAGCTAATATCAAACTATATTGTATGAAATAATTCCTTAACTTATTTCCCATGATTTGCTTTGCAGTCTGATCCTCTCACAGCTTAAACTCTGTCAAGTCAGTGTGTTATGTAAACACAATGTAACCCCACACTATCTCCCTTTGTTGGGATGTGGAGAGGTTTTCTTTGTTGTTCAACCCTAACTGACAATGTCACCATTGCGAAACGAGGCTCATAGGCTCATTCATGTGTTGCACAATGTGCATCTTCACGAGTAGTTCCCAGAACCTCATTGCTGTATCGTGCATTCACACCTCATTCAACTGGGCATCCGCTCCTAGTGTCCTTGGATCCATCAGGGTATTCATAGTGTTTACCCAAATCACAGACAAACAGGAATCAACCTTCCCATTCAGGCCATCCTTCATCATTTCAGCCAGCTGACAAGGTTCATTACCATCTCACCCCCACAACACACCCTTAACCCAGACAGCTAAATTACATTTTCATCATTTCTTAATTTGGCCGATAACAACCCCTAAGGAAAGACCGAGCTTCACTGAATTGGTTTTTGTTGCCATTCATTGTTTTTTCCTAATCAGCGATCCTATCGTTAGTTTTAACAATGCCTTAGTTGGTACAATGCTGTGAACAGTGCCTGTCTCTCTCTTCATTGATCGTGGCCACACGCACCATCATGCATCCTGTTTCGAATGTACAGATAAAGACCAATTTTCCATCCAGTGAGCAAGGTAAATGGTCTATCAAAACGGCACACGCCGACCAGCGTGTTCATAGCAGGACAGCTCCCCAGTGTTCCATGTTTAACAAGCTTGGCTGGTGTCACAAAGGATGGTTTGTTTAAGCTTTGTGCTTTATGTAACTCACTGGCTTCATTTGTGACTAATGTTTCCCATTAGAGAAGGAAATGTTGAATGAGTCAGACTTTCAAGAAACAATGCACTTACTCCAAAAGTCAAAGCCAAGATGAAATCCACTTTTAAATGCATGTTTGTGGAATGAATGACACTTGATTTACTTATGCTCCAACTCTGGAATTCTGAGGAAAATTAGACCATGTAAACTGAATTCCAAATACTTGGATACTGTGATTGGCAAATTGTGTTACATGTGGCACAGTTAGAACCTAGTTAATGCCACCTTTTTTCAGTTCTTTCTTTCACGACCATTGTCATTAATGTCATACATTTTTTGGTCATAAAACCAGAGATTCTCATAAGAAGTTGCAAGAAACATTGAACTGTAACTTTCAAGTGAGAAGCATTCAAAAAGATTAAGATGGGGGTATGTTTAGACAGGTTCATAGGTTGGAGGAACCTTGTGATATCACTTTGGAACTGAGAGCCCAGTTGGTACCAAAGCTTACATGTACCTTGGATGTGAACTAGCGCATTGATAAAGGGAGCAAGGAAAGTCCTAACCCGTAGTTAATAAGTGAACTGTGTACAAGTTTTTTCCTCATATTTGCAAAATGGCTGATGAGGTTTGGCCAGCTCTGATTTTTTTTCAACCAGACTTCAATGCCCCATTTAATCAGTATAAGAACTCTTAGATTTAATCCTGAAGTGTCCACAGACACAGCAAACTTCCCTGGGTTTTCAAAGGGAAGTTGCAAGTTGCATGCTGTTTAGGCAAAAACTGAGTGAATTTCACAGAAATATTGAACCAATTAGATTGCAAGTCTTGAGTAAGGTGCATTATACTCGGCTGGTGAGATCAATTAAGTGTTGATGAGGAGGAAAGTGTGGCACAACATCTCAGCAGAAATCTTTAATTAGTCCAATTAGTATTCTACTGACCTTGATTTAAGGACCCATATTTTGATTGAGTTAATTCCCCCCTCCCCCCGTGGCCTTCTACAGGAGCCAACAGGACTACCAATAAACCAGTAGAAATGACAGTGACGGTCATCAATACTCAACCATCCCTGAACAATACACTGGTGCTCTAGTTCACGGTCTTCACATTGGCCCATTGTTGACTTAGTAAATGCATTATTCATGTGTGGATGCTGTTGATTAATCATAAGTACATGTAGGTGATCCTGCCTTGGAACTTTCTCCACTGTTCCAGCCAATGGGGAGTTCCACAGACTTGTTCCTATCTACATATGGTGAATGCGATTGGCCAATGCATGGCCTAAGTTACTGAGCACAGTAAAAAGGCATATCTATAGGGAAGTACATGTATTTCTTGAAGACAGCAGTACATATAGGTGGCGTGACAGTTTGTGTTCGCTGTGGATAGCGTCATTCAGTTTGTTGGGGTTGTTGCATCTGCACAGTCCTGGTTTTTCCCTCTTTGAGCGAAGTGGATACTGGTCAATATGAAGTACTCCATGCACCAACAGTACTATGACGGTAGTTTACCGGGAAGTATTTGCACCATGACAGAGGAGTATAACAGTGGTACTACGGCTGTTGGTTACTGCATTGGTGGGCAGGGGGTTGAGGCTTGTGTTCCCCACGGTGGAATGTTTATTCACGGTAAGACCAGTGTAAATTTAAGAAACAAAAAACAACTTACTTTGGGTTACTGACAAATTGAACCCAGGTATTACAGACCTTTTTCTTTCTTACTATTTCAGATATCTGATACAGAATATAGTTGTGTGCTCCTCAAAATGAGGGGAAAGGGAAAGGTGGAAGGAGAGATTTAACAACTTTCTTTTTCAGTTATGCAGTAATTTTTTTAAATGAAAATTTTGCCATCAGGTTGGAAGCGTGTCTGCCATAAACTTGTCAGAAAATTACAAAGCTTCAGGTTTTGTTGGTGTGTTAGCCATTTTGTTCCACTGCCTTGGCCAAATATGCCTCACAGTTTTGGGCCTAGATCCGTGTCTGCAAAGAGTGAGGTTTTTTTTATCACTGGCATGCTGGTGACTCCGGTTTGAGTGGAAATATTTTCTAATCAGAGTACTGGCGGTATTTGAGAAGTGTCCAGTTTTTGGTTGGATTCCAACTTGGAACATTCCTTCCAAAATAGAAACTTGTCAAGAGCTACCCAGCCCCCTCCCTTTGAGGCATGGGTTGTTCCTACAGCCCTCTTTCCTCATATGGTAAGAAAGAGACAAAATGCTTCACTATTTTTAGCTGTCTCTCCATTTTCACTTTGAAGAGCAATGTTGCAATTTGATTCAGTTTGCAATGGCCCTGCCAGTAAAATTTCAAGTCATCTAAGAACAGTTTGTCACAAATTCTGTTCAACCACATACAGCAAACAAATCAATTTTGATTACATAAATACAAATGTATAAACATTGCTGCTTGAAAAGATTTCTTTTCCTTTTTCATTTTGTAACTCGGGGTTTGAAGGGCTGTGCAGTGTATGCACTTTTCAACAAAGTCCTGTGAATGTACATGTGTATCTAATTTTAAAAAAAAAGTTGTTTAGGGCATTTTAGTGACTTTTGTTTTCACAAGACAGTCATGAGTAAAAGTATTGATGTTATATCAGGAAGAAGCCTCAGTGTCACATCTAGATATTTGGGTATTTTTTCAGTCTTACATTTTGTGTTTGTTTCAGTACTTGAAAGCATGCGAGTAAGCAAAGCTTTTTCACGAATATTTTCAGTGAGCAAATTTGGGTTCACAGTTTGAGCAGAAAGTTCCCAGATCAAGTGTCCCAAAATGACACCACATCACAGAATGACATCACAGCAACTAAACTGTCATTTTTCCAGAAAAAGCATGGACAATTTCAAGCGTTTTGAAAAAGTGTGCTTTTCAATAAGATTAATCCAAAACGGATGCCAAGTAGTTTTCATACATTGAAGAGGAGTAGATTGTTGCCTCAAAATACTTCAATTTAAAAAGTTCCCAAGTATATAGGTGGAGTCCTTCAAGAAAGCAGTTGCCCTTCCTTTCCCCTCTTTCTTATCAGAGAAGCATACCTGAGTGTGCCTTTCTTTTATGCATGCCTTCTCATGTTTTTGTCTCTCTCAGATGGCATAATGACTCCAGCGCTGTCCTCTAGTCGCAAGATTCTCTGCCAAGTCTGTGGAGCCCTGTCTTCTGGTCTTCACTTTGGCGTCTTCACTTGTGAAGGATGCAAAGTAAGTTTAGGCATGGCCTGATGGTGTTTTTTGTTATTGGTGTCGATTTTGAATTGAAGGATTGTTTTGGCCCAGGACTTCAACTGTCAGCAGGGTTCATCTTTTTAAAACCATTTTGTTTAAAGTTGCTTGTTGGTGGTTTTCAAGTGTCTCTTGAAGGTTTTCCAGATTTTTGGTTTTATTGTTTGCATTCCTTGTTGAAGAAATAATTTTATTATTATAATTTTTATATTTTATTTTTTTGATGTGGTAATAGATCTTTTATCATCAGCGCGTAACACAAACCATACCAAGGGCCAGTGACCTGTAGGCATTTTTGCTGTGTTTTTCCATAATGATTATTATTTAAACGTGAGTTCTTGAACACTCCAAAAACTTTGTACATCAGCAATTGTCAGTAGTACAGCATGAAGGCTATCTGTGGACGAAGTGAAGGATATTTTTTTGCATTTCTTACAGAAACAATTTTTAAAATGTAAACTACCTAACCAGTTTCAGCCTAACGTCCTTCCATCAGTATTTGATTACCAACAGAAATGAAATGATTTTAAAATGTTGGTCTTGCTTAGGGAAAGACAGCATAATAATTCACATTTATGTGAGTAGCAGGCTCAAGATGGGCCGTTCAAGTAATTGTCAAAAATCTATAATCACTGGCAACATGCTGCTGATAAGTAGCTTAGTTTAGATCATCTGCTTTGGTTTTTGTATCTCATGTTCAGTATTTCATTACAATTGAAGATGGGGCTAGGCTTACTCTTTTACCGCATGGCCTGCGTATCCCAAAAGCATGAAGCAAAATCAGATGTTCTCTACAGAAATCCCTTGCTGCTGTTGATAAAACAGTGGTGAAGTCATTGGAGTGGAAATGTGGCTGCAGTCAAAGGAATAATTTCCAATACAAATGTACAACATTTTAGATGGGGATGAGCAATCCAGTAAATGCTTTTATTTTGGCAAACATTTCCTGTAAAACAGGCATCATTTTGGTTCAAGTTTTCTCAGGGAAAATTTACGAGGAATTACATTTCTCATTTGAAATATCCTCTTATGTTCTTGCAATTTTCCTTACATTTTGTTCACTCAAACTCCATCTACAGCAATTGGATTCACTTTGAGTACATTTGACTACTATCTAATGCAACAGAGCATGTCCTTGCTTGATGTACCTGCCTTCTACTGGGCATAGGGGTAGTATTTGTTGGTATGCTTCAATTCTTATGTTTCCACATCAAACATGAAAGCTTGATTCCGCGATTAATTCATTTAGAACATCTCCTTACGAGCTTAGCTAATGGCTGCTTTCTTCTTTTGCATGAAACAAAGATCCCAGACGAACAATTAAAAGTTGTCCTTAACTTTTTATGCCTATCATGTCTTCAGTAAGTAGTCCTTGTGTACATTTCAAATCATGAAATGACACATAGATATATGTTTGATTTACATGTACATGTACTTCATTTAACAAGTTCCAGTCTGAGCCCTCATTTTTGGGCGAGTTAAGACTCACTTCACAGGAATTGTTAACAAACTCAAGTTATTGCCTTGCACAAAATGAACATAAAACTGAAACACAATATGACTAAAATACAAACCTTCAAAATAACGTGGCCTGAGGGGGACCATCTAAATGGATGTTTGAATTCATAGATTGATTGGACAGTTCAAATGTGAAAGTTTCTGCCCACACTTACGGATACATTTGCACATAACCAAAATCATCTCTTTCTTTAACAGTGCTGAGAGTCGAGAAACAAACTTTAACAATTTTACTGATATATGTATAATTGTGGAGATATATAGTTTACACAGTTTAATAGGATTTGGTTGTTCATCGTTAAACTAATCAGGATCTTGATAAAAATGTCCAGCTTATATTAGGGGTTCTAGTGGACATGCACATAACTGTGTCAGCTCATGTTTTCCAGGTAATCTAAAATACCACTTTTTCATTTCATTTCATTCATTTATTTTATTTTTTGGGTTAATACATGTATTATATTACAGACAAGAAAACAAATAAACACTGCAACAGACAACAGAAACATAACAATACCCAATCAGCTCCCGCAGGATTACCCAAAAGAAACAAGTTTCTGTCGAGGGGCTCTCCTAACTAACTAGATAAAACATATAGGAAACATGACTATTTACAGATATAGTTTATCAAAATGTCAATCAGATTTATACTTAAATGCAAATAATATCACTTAAGGCTGGCAACCATAAAAGCAATAAGTAGCAAAATATCTAAACAAATTTGTACAAAAAAGGAAATTATAGAATGTAAATCAGATTTATACTTAATTCCAAATAATATAACTGAAGGCTGGCAAAAATAAAACGATATATTTTGGAAATATTAAGCCATTAGAAAAATAATATTAAAAAAAAGAGAAAAACAGAAAAGCAATTCATCTGTTAAAACATGGGTGCTACAGGTATTTGAGAAATGTGTCCAAATCTATGGCTTTTCATTTGTTTAAGTTATCTTAAACCAGAATTTAAGGAGAGCTAATTAAGGAATAACGTACATCACAGTGTCTGTCCCCATAGTGACAAACATGAAACAGGCTGATTTTGTTATTCCTTGAGCAGATAACTTGAACAAAAACATACACAAGTATCTTCCTGAGAAAAGTTTTTACAATAACAATTACATCATATTTGTGGTTGTTTTTTTATCAGATGACGAAACTAAGATTAGATTTTAGGAATTGCAAATATCTGTCCACTAGTTTGTAATGTTTGCCACAATCATTTTTCCCTCTAAACGTACAAATCTTTGAAGACTTATCTTATGAGTATTTATGAGTATTTATTACAAAACCAAATCATATAAAATAATGTACAATTTATTAGAAAAAGTCGGTTCATTTTGTTGAAATGAAAGTGAGAAGACTGTCTGTCCCCAGGTTATAATATGTGACAAACGTTATGTCTGTCCCTGTGACAAACGTTACTCATTGAGAAAAACTTACAGTGTTCATTTTAGCTGAAGTTTAATATAATAGTCTTTTTAACAAAAATGATTTTGAAAACTGAAAACAAACAAGTCTGATTTGTGAACAATTCTGTTTTCATGCTCTAATTCAAACACCAGAAAAATGTCTGTCCATGTGACAAACGAAATGTTTGTCCAGTGACAAACGTTTCATATTTTTCTTGAAATAAATTTCAGTGTTATGTACACTGGAATTGTTTTTATGAGATAATGAAAATTTCTAAAAGTAAACTAAAAATAGTATTTAATACATTGCAAGTAATTTTCAATTTATGTTTTGAATTTAATTTTCACATTTAAGGAACAAAAATCTGTCCATGTGACAAACGTTATATCTTCAAGAATGAACTTCTATAATTTCTTAAATACTGCTCAATTTATCTTTAACTTTCTGTGGCAACAATCAGAAACAGTGAAGACCTACATGTATGTAAGCAAAGAATAATGGCAAAATTTTACAGGTAAAGTTGTACATGTATTGAATGTCACGCAAATATAGCTGTTAGTGTGGACAGACCCAAATGAGAAAGCTCTCTAGAGGATACTGTATAGTGATAGATTTTTCTGGGGATGTTTTTGTGCAATGTCACAAAGTCATTGTTTTATTTCTGTCAGTGTTTCTACCGTCGAAGTATCAAGGAAGGTGCTAATTATGCATGTGCAAAAGATCGTAATTGTGACATCACCATGGAGACACGCAACTCTTGCCGCTTCTGTCGTTTTCAGAAGTGTCTTGCATTGGGCATGTCAAAAGAAGGTAAGAATTGTTCCTCGCCTTCCATCCTATTCAAATCGGTCATTTGAGCATTGTAAACCCCAGAAATTTTGAAATTCTTTTGTATACAAAATTACAGACATTTCTGAGTTCATTTATGAAAATAAATAAACTTGTTGCTATTTTTCAAGAGACATCTTTCTAAAAGCCATGACAAATTAAAAGTCATAAAGTTATGACAGGAAGACATCAGTGAACTCGATTACTTGCAACAGAGTGACAAATAACTTCACCACAATCATTAAGTTACAAATACGAGTTGGAATACACACACATGTTCATATAACACACTATATTATACTAACTTGATATTGAATTGAACTTTGAAACTTCACGATTGATAGTATTTAGTGAAACAGTTTGTGCAATTTGTGTATTTGTGATATAACACTGAGATAAGGGAAGGGAATGGCTGATTAAAATTTAGACAAATTTAATGGAACCTTGTAAAAGACCGTGCCTAGGTAAAGGGTCACTCCCAGTATATTGTTCCCTGAAATCTGGTCTGAATTTCTCCCATCTTATTTACTTTATTTTATGTGGAATCACTTGGAAAGGCTAAGGGTAAGACTTGATTTCATTTATACTCAGTGTTCTACTTTGAAATACGTATTTTGGAAGACCACTAAATTTAAATACAGAGCCAACGAAATGATTTTTTAGTGTTTGATCACCCTTTAATTAAGAACCAATGATACGGATTTGTCACTCTGATGCAGGAATCAAATTAGGACGTCGTCCAAAAGTAGACAGTGATGTGTTTCAGCAGGGCTTCTACCATGCAGGAGAAATGGACATGTTGCACAGTCATGGCCAGCAGACCTATTCCTGGCCAGGAACTGACCACCTGGATGCTCACTTTTCGGCTACTTTCAAATCAGAACCCGCATTCATTGACCTTGACGGTCGGGTAAAGGACGGTTATGGCGAACAGCCTGTGATGAATTATTCAATGAAACGTGAGGCCTACACAACGTGCGACCAGCACAATGGCCTGCATTACCCGCACCAAGGGAGCTATTTAATGCCTGGCCAGCAGCACAGTTCGAACACCGGCGTGGCCAGCCCCGGACGGGATCAATATGAACAGGCTTATGGCTCACCCATGGAATCTGCCATTCATGCACAGCAGCAGCACATGTACCTTCCCCCTGACGTCCCGTCACACCCTCACCACAGCACCCCAATGTCCAACCCGGTGCCCATCCTGCACAATCCAACGCCCCACCCGCCCTCCGCCCAGTCTCGGATCGAGCATGGGGCTGCCCGCAGCTGGACGGCTGAGTTGAGCCCAACCAGCAGCATGTCGTCCGGCAGTGAGGAAGCCTGGGAAGGGACTGTATACCAGGCTAATCACCCCTCCTCAGTTACCCTGACTCTGCCCGAGGTGCACAGCGGGGCCGTGGCAGCCATGGCTTATGCCAACCTCTACCGAGGGAAAACGGACAGCCCCTCTTCCACTTCCTCCTCAATATCCACGTCAGAGCGCTCTAAGGAAGACGAAAATGCAGTGCTGAAGAAACCATCTGAAATGAGTTTCTCACTTGCCAGTGAGACAGAGCGGGGCTCCCGCAGCTACACGGAACTGGTGCCCAGGAAAAATAACCAGAAAATTGACTCGGTAATGCAGTCTGTCGGCGAGAGACATGAAAGTTATGCTAATAAACTGCAAGCCATGCAGACTTCTATGGCATTGTCACCCAAGCCTGCATCACCGGCTTGCGGCAGTAGAAATGACAATAATTATAATAAGAATGAGGCATGGGTCGGTCATCCTGACGGGAGACAGCAGTCAGGGATGAACAGAGGAGGCTCAGGTGCCTTTTCAAATCTCTCCCATCCTGGCGGACTTCTTAAGAAGGGAGAGAACAAAGATGAGCATAAGGGAGATATGCAAGGAGATCTTCTGCACAACATCATGACCTATTTCTTGCAGCTGAAGATGGACGTTGTGGCACAGTGGAAAGTTTACTGCAGTAAGGTAAGGGATAACAAAAAAGATGATTAATATGTATTTCATTTAAATGCTTCATTAGTGTCTCATGACAGAATTTTATATTACACATGTACTAAGAGAGCTTTTTCACTGTCTGTAAAACATATGTTTGTTCACTGAACAAACATATGAACTGAACTTCAGCTACTGCAATTAGTGGGCCTATCAGGTATTTATATTTATAGTTCAGTTATTGGCCAGTGGGATAACTGACTGATTAGGAATTAATTGAAGTGACTGGCTGATCAATTTATTAAATGATTAAAAGATCAATCTATTAATTGATTAATTGGTCAATAGAGGCTTTGCATGGTAGCCATTTTGCAGGGCATTTCTTTTGTTTCACAGGGAAACCTCCTTTGTGTATGTACGAAAGAACTGTCCTGTAAAATGGCTACCTCGCAATGCCTGTGTACATGTACATGTAGATCACGTTACCTACGTCTATTTATTGATCAGCTAATGAAACATTGATGTTTATTAACCATTTCGTGCCAGGGGCATTTATGAATGTTGATGATGCTGGGATTGGATAATTTGCCTTTTTGTCTGTTTTCAAAATTCTTTAAAAATTCATATCTTCATTTACTGGACACTTAACACCCACTCAAAGGACTATCTGGTTCTACTCTAATCTGACAGACAACATTTATTGACGCTGGAGTATTTCAGCCAGGCCTGCTGAATTGTAAAAAGAGCCCAGATTGTGTGGTGTTACGTAATTTTCTTTTGTTCGTGAACCTGGCACAGTGCGCTGCAGACCTCTTTTCAATAGGGGCCAGATTAGCGTGCAGCGGTACTGTGTGGCTCATAGCTGCGGTGGTGGAGTGCATTTGTCCCCGGTGGTACATGTAATCTGCTCGCGCTAAATCCCCAAAACTGTGGTATACTGTTTCAAAACATGGCTGGATTATCTCCACTATTGAGAGTGAAAAATGTTGGTAATAAGGCCAGCGGCCTGGTCTATTTCTACAAGTACGGTCTTTTGTTACAAGGCCCAGTTTCCTTTGTCCAATTTTGGAGACCCCGGTCACGCATATAAAGAATACGTGTCCAGTTCCGGCAACCCCAGCAGCAAGTGGTTAAATCTATACTAATTGATTCACTCTCCAATTCTCATTCATCTTTTTTTGTTGATATTTTCTAAAGATTTCGAGCAATGATTCAGCTGACTTCAACTGGAAGGAGGTGGAGAGTTTTGTGAATACTACCTATGAAATTACCAACTGCATCAGAAATTATGTTCACAAGGTCTTGGGTAAGCATCAGTTGAATCCCAGGTGCCAGACTGACTTATTACCTGTTAGATTGCGTATCTTGGCAACAAACCTCTTTTTTGGGAGCATTTATAACCTGTTTTTAAGCCCGGTTTTTTATTTATTTAAAATTTTTTAGTTAATTTAAAAAAAATGGTGAATTGTACATTTGGGGGGTGTTTTGGTAAAGTTTTAAATCCAAAATTGATCATCTTAAAAATTGGACCATTTTTTTACTGAAATATTTTTGTTCCCTTCACTTTTGTAGAGGCATGACTGGAGATTTGTTTTTGAATAAGAGTTGTCACACAGTTTAACAGTGGACATGTAAACATTCCAACCTTTGGCCTCAGGAGAATATAACAAGTGGCGCAGCCAACATGTTTCCGATCATTCATTGCTTCTTGATCTGTGTGTCAAGGTTTGGCTCAGCAGAACTGCGGCTCAGGGATAGAGCTGGTCTGGACATCTCTGGCCGTGGTGGTCAAAACTTGCCTGCTGCTGGACATGTCAACCCACGGTCAGCTGAAGGCCAGAGGAGGGCAGGAGTCCCCTCAGCTCCTGAAGGAAGAGGCAGTATGCATCAGCATCCTGGCCTTGTTCTCTTCAGGTGAGGGAAAGGCATTTTCCACATCTTCTAATCTCTTTCAAATCTAGGCGTGGAGCACTGAAGCACCGCACACTCTTGGGGTCCTTGCATAAATACTGTCCTTGCTGACAGAGAGATATACTTGATTGACATTTGAATATTACCGCCACAGTGAGGCCTGCTGTTGATGCTGTATCCATAAGTCCTGTTAATTGAGAACTAATGCTTCCTAATAGTTCAGGGTTCAAATTCCACCCAGGCCAACATGTGTTTGTCATCCCAGCCTGATTTTGTGGGCTTTCCCCCGGAGGCATTTTTGGGTTTTTTTTTCCCGTTGCTAAAACTGAACATTTCCTCATTCTCCTCTTTTCCCTTGGGACCCTTAAGGAGAACATGTTTGCATGTAACTGATAGAGCTAATAACGACAGTAAAATGAAAAGGCATGCAGGGGCCACAGTTGACCCAAATTCTATTCCTACTCAGAAGACCACTGCCTCTCTGAAGTACCAAGAACTTGAGATGGAATATGCTTACATAAAGAAAAAGTTGATCAGTGGTATTTATTCATTTTTTTCCCATTCAATTTAGAACTTCACCTGCAGAAATATCAGTGCGAAAGGATTCATCAAGCCCCATTTGAGGATATGTGGATACATACTGCACATAATAGTTTTCTTTTCTTTCTGAAAATACAGTGGCATTGTCAGAGAGGAATGTGTTGTCAGAGGCTTGTCAGTGGATTTGCCGTGTTGCACGGGACTACCTCAAAGGTACGTGTGTATTTCAGTTGTGACCTGTCAGCCTTCATCAGTTGACCTATCCAGTAAGCCCCACCCACTGTGCACATTGGCATTTAGCACATGCTCTTTTCCAATGCCACACTGCAGGCTCCAGCCGAACGCATCATAAGCATGTGCATGCATGTCAGACTTTAGTGTAGGCACACCGGACATAAATAACAGCTGTCACTGGTCAGAAAACAATGCGGTGGGGCTTAATGGATCAGTCCGTAAGTCATCGTCAGAATTTTTCTTGTCTTCACTTGTCCTAGATGCTCTCCTCAAAGTCATGAGATAGGACGGTCTTTTTTATCTTTGATTTCCTCACTGGAAGGCTATCCTATGATGGTCAGCCACAAAATGGCTCTTTGACCAAATATCAAATGCATATTTCAAATCTCTGAGTAATCTTCACAGCCTTTTTCTATGCTTGTAAGAAACATTTGATTGGCTTTTTGCAAAATCTCTTAACATTTCGTTTTAGGAATAAAGAGCAAGTTTAGTATTTGGACTGTAGGGGAGTTCAGTTATTTAGACGCTGTCTTGTTAAAACCAAACTGGTTCATCAGTAGTTCGGAGGACACAAACTTTTGTTTTGCATTCGCTGATGAATGCCAAAGAGTTTAAACAAAGAGAGGCTTAATTGATCAATCTAAACTCACTCATCTGATATTTTCCCCTCTCTCTCTATCTTCAGAGAAATGTAAGACAGAAGAAAGATTCCAACAAGTCACGCAGCTCCTACAGGGGGATTCAACGGCAATGCTCATTACCTCACCAAGCTGAATGGGGGGGGGGTAATCAATTGATTCCTTCAAGGTTGGCTTGTTCTTTCTTTGGGGGGAGGGGGCTGATTTAGGTCAGTGTTTGTAAATACACTTCCCTGTCTCTCCTGTCTGTTACCTCCCCTTCTTATTTCCCCTCCAGACTGTGACCCAGTCTGTGATCCAGTCCGTGGTTGTGCATTCAAGTTGCTATGAGCCTTAGCACAAAACTTAGTAAAGCAAGACAGTACCTCTCCGGTGGTTGTAAACTTTAGCCCTGATTGCGACCCTCCAAAAGTCTGTTCTACATGTAAATCAGCCTGTAGGAGTAAACCAAAGAGTGGGGGGTTTTGCCTTTGAGATAATAAATAATTTAAATTTTCAATCAGAAATGATTATGAATTGTTTAAGAAACAAACATCTTTTTACTTACAGACTCTCCATCATGCAAAACCTTAAATTCTAACCAAGATATAACAAAACCCCTGGGGCACTTCATTTCAGTATTGTACCATGGTGCTGTATCAAACAGTCCGGTAGCACTGAATTGGATGAAACTGAAATGAAATTGAAACAGGTGAACGGGTATCATTTCCCAAACATTCCTGCTCAAAAGCATTTTTAAAGAATATCAAAATATGTTTAAATACTCTTTTTTGAAAGATATATGTAAGACATCGGCAGCTGTAATATTTGTAAACAGTGACTACATGTACTTTCATTATGTGGATTTTTTAATAATGCACACCTACTTGGAATTGGAGATAATTAATTGTAATGTTCCCCTAATTCTTCATCATCCGTACTCTATCGCACCTTCCAAGCATTGCAACATTTACCTGTTTTTGTCAGTGTTCAGTCAGAGAGATAGAGGTTAAAACTGTTCATCTTTGAAATTTATCATTTCATAAAATCATTGTTTTCATTTAGGGACAGAGATTAATTTGATTCACTGCAGCTTCATGGCATTTATAGTTAATGCAATTATCTTTTACTGGTTTTGTATGATATTTTGTTGACGTGCATTATATGCACCTGTAGTTGTTCGTCCTTACCCAAGCTTAGTTAAATTCTTTACTATTTGTATAATATAAGTGACTTTTTCAAGTTCCCAGGGACAGTGTATAGGGTTTCTTACTAAAAGGCACATTTGAAAAACTCTTCATGTAAGATTGTCCGTGTATGAAATTTTCTTATTATTGGTTGGTACTCTGCCTCTGTAAGTCCTGAAAACCTGTTCTGAAATATTCAAGAGTTTAAATTCTTCAGTGACTATGATGGTGTAAATGCATTCCATTCAGGAAAAAAAAAGTGCCCTGCAAGAGGGACCTTTATTAACACAAATATTGTGACAGTTTATTTGCTATCCTCTACAATTCAATTCCCATTGTTGGGAAATTTTGCTCCTTTTTGGGGGGTCCAACTTAAGATTTGACATGCACGGCAGTGGGGCCAACCTCTGCTCAGACACGACATGGGCAGTTTGTAGATAAAGAAAGGGCCACTTTCCGACACGCACACAAAAAAGAGCTTTTCTAAAAGTAATTGATGATTGAATTGAGTGTGTTTTCTTATTGCCAAGTGACCGTGCCCGTGTTAAAAGCTTGCTCAGCCCCATCAACAATAAATACATGTTTACAGTCGCTTTCCCCTTGTCACAGAGTCTGTGTTTGGCAGAACACTTGCGCATGGCTTTTATATTGTGCTCATGTTTCATGGAATTTTTTTTTCTTTTTTTTCGATTGAAAGTGTTGATTTGATTATTTTGTCGCTGGAATCTTCCGTTGACACAGGCATGCAGAAAGAGGCCTCAAGGAGGAAATATATTGCCCCAAACTGGCTGGTGAATATATAGTTGTCTAATTTGCTGGTTGGTCATTTTGAATGGGTTTCATTGGAATTGCCAAAGAAAATTTTATTGGTGCCTTGAAGAGCAGACTGTTGCAATGAGAAGGCTCAATTTATGGAAAGAGAAACAGTTTGTCGTTGGATGAAGAATTGGAATGATTATTTGATCCTTCCCATGCTAGAGCACCTTTGCTGCTCAAGATCTTAATTGATTATATTCACTTTAAAGGTACAGTGTTACGTACATTTGGAGCTTTCTGCAAAGAAACTGACAAACTCATTGTTGGAAAGCATACTTGGTTGAAAGATAGTTATGGTACTAAGTGCCCTGTGAAATGATTCTTTTTGGCAAGCTGTCAGGGTGAAGAAACAATAAAAGAAGGCCACTTCCAACGGTGTGTCTTAAGATTGACTAAGTGTCTTAAAATTGACTAAGTGGGTCGTTTTTAATTCGGTGTCCTGGACACTGATTTTAGGCACAATTAAAACAGGACTCTACAACCAACTTTTGATTTGAAGCTGAGATCCTAGAATGTTGGTTTTTCTCGGAATATACAACATTCTGTGAGTTCAAATTTCATAAGGTTATAGTTGTAAAGCACCTTTCTTACAATTTTGAATACTAATTTTGTTGCCTCAAATTGACATAATTCCCAAATGACGCACTGTACCTTTTTACAGAAATTGCCATGAATGTATTCTGATATTCCACATTCTTTATAGAAATGAGAGTGATTAGCAAACTTGTATGTTTGTACATGTATTTAATTATAAAAATGCTGCAATTCCATCACCCTATATATATACAAGTTTTGTGTACTTCTGGAAAGATAATGCGCCAGAAAGCAACACCACAAAACTGATTGTAAAAAGTACTGGGTTTTATACAAAAGAATATACATGTATGTAAAATACAAGCTCTGTGTACATTTTACTTACTAATGTATTTTACCTGTGCATGTACATGTATGATTAAACCTAATTGGACAAATTGAGGTGCATCTTTCAGATTTTAAGTTAAAAGACTGGGAGAGAATTGTTTTGTACATGTACCACTGAGCGCATAGATTTCTTGGACTAGAATGGTTTTCATGCATGCAGTGTCATTCCATACTAGCCCATCCTCAGCAGAATTTTATTGGACGAAACAAAACTTGCTGTAAAATTTGTAGCTTTGTGCAGTCAGTCCCTTGCACACACTGATTAAATTGCCCGTAAATGTGAGGGAATTACTGCAATAAGAATGGACAGTTGCTTGTTGTTAAACACATTGGTTACCTGGAAATATCAAGCAGCAGCTTTTTAACATCAGTTCACGTATCAGTTAATATTACTAGTCACTTGATAGAATCAAAGGTTTTTGAGTTGCAACAGAAACTAACACGTCAGTGTGCAGCCACAGAAAATATAAATCTGCCACGTAGTAAAGAGACTATTTTGTATTTAATTTTCAACAATAATTGATTCAGATGAACACATTTTGTGAGCAGATGTGTTGACAAGAAATCAGTCTCCTTCAACACGGAAGAAATAGTTCCGGCTGTGCAGACCAAAACTATTTAACCACCGTAGATTTAAACACACCTAGCAGCATGTCATTATGTACAGCTTACTGCAAACCTCCAATGTTTCTGAAGTAATTTAACTTCAGAAAGCGAGGAATCACTGGGTTTCAGTACTTTATTCTAATGCATCCATACTCAGTACAGTTTATGTAATCAGTACCATGCTATCAGGATAAGCTCTTTGTTCCTTACCGTGTATCACATTATACTGCTGATTTGATTAAAATGTAGGTTTCTTGTTTTATTGTGGCAAATTTCCTCTTAAGATTATTTTTGTTAAGCATGGAATGTTGCAAAGGATCGTAGGCCTTGCCACAATTCTCTCTGTCCTTCATGAAATGTAAAACAAAGCATATACCAGTAGCAGTACTCAGCAGCTAAGGTATTGCAATAAACTGAATAAACCTTTGTGTTTAGCTTTCTGTACACAACCAGAGATGTGTATATTGTTTACGTGAATCATTTGTGAAATAAGTGAATACGATTAAAATTTAGATTTGGAATCAGTGTTTATTTTGTTATTAAAGTTAACCGTATTATAGCGTCTGCTGGCGTTTAATTGGTTTGATGTTATGGGGTATCTCTATTATGAATGAGGGATCGTTCCATATGAAAATAATCTATTATTGGCAGGTGAGTTTGGTAAATTTCTTCCAAAATCATACTTTGTAGATTTAATTCAAGACTACAAAAATGAAAAGAACTTGTACCTTGCTTATTACTCTCTCTTGAACGCGGAATGGCACAAAATCTCAACAATACAACGGAATAAAACACCCCTATCAGCTGAATGGTCGCACCATAACAAAGACCGTGCTCCAATTCCTATAACGCGTACGAGCTGCATGCACACGCGAGGTAGCGTGCCGTTGAACCAAATTTTCTCTGTTTTTCCCGCCTCAATGGCTGCTGAAAATGAGGTAACCCGTCCTTGGACGGACGAAGAGATTGTCTCCGACGACATTGGCAAGAAGGCTATCGCAACATTTCTGCAAGAACATGCATCAAAAAGGGTGAGTTTATTTGTCTGTTAGTGCTTGGAGTTTAATGTATGTTTTTGGCTTTACCAGTTGTGATATTAGACCTAAAATATTTACAGAATTTAGGGAGGCATATAGTACTTAGTAGTAATGTACATGCATCAACGCGTTCATGTATGGAGCTCAATTCTCTAATACAACCATGCACATTTCAATGGGAGTAAAATAGGAATCAGACCAGTCTGCAACAAATGGATCTCGGACTTTTTCCCTCAATTAAAAAAATCTCCATGAATCTAGGCCTACCACACACAGGCTTCATGCGTATGATGCTCATCCACCAGGAGAATATAGCTTTATATGCCTAATGGTATATATACATGTACATGTATCTTGAAGTAGGCTTACAGTGTACAGGCTGTGCAAGTGTTCAATAGTTAGTTGATATGGTTGGGTTACTGCAGAAATCTACTTTGAGTTCTCAAATTTCAAAGTAGAGTGTGAAGTGACTAGCTTGGGTCACTGGTTACTGGAGTGATGAGGGAGTTGGAGTTGCTAGCTGGGCTGGTGGTAGCCTGGTAGGGCTGTGGGTTGGGATGTTGCCCTCTGAAGACCTGAGTTCAAAATTATGACAAAGACTTGACTAAATACCTCCAGAATCTTCTACCAGCTTCTCCACTTGTCAAGGGTAAGCTAATGTACATTGTAACTTGGTTTGACACATGAAATCTAACTGGGCTGCAGAGTGGAATGCTAAAAAGGTGGATATTTTACTTTGTGCAGTGGGCAAATTTGAGATGTGACTCGTCAGCTGGCCATAATAAGGATGTACAGTTACCGGGTACTCTCATTCCCCAGTTGTGTGGGAATGGAATAAGAGACTTTAAAAAATATTCTTACACAAATCTCACCGTCTTGGAATCTCCAAGTGCTGCCTTTATTTTTCTTGCTTGTACAAGCATGGTGCAAGGTTTCAAGCTATTCAGACAACTCACGTTACCAGTCCATTCTTGGTAAGCCTAAATTTCCCTTGATCAACTGAAGGATGATGATGCTGCCAGTATAATTCAATTATATTAAGTAGACACTTAAAATTTATGTGGAAATATTAAGTGCATACGGTAGATGCGAGGGTGTCAGTTGTTCCTCAAATGAAGGGGGGAGGGGGACATAGCCTTGATCAGAACTAATGTGAGTACAGGGCGGGAGGCCCTACTGGTGTGAGTCCAGGGCCTACTTAAGGGCTTTGGTGCCATCCGAGACAATCTCTGATCACTTTAACCAGTTTGTTTTCAGCATATTTTGTACGCATACACTACAAGATTCATTTTATTTTTGGACAGTATTTCTTTTTCAAAATTTGGTATCAGGGGAAAAGTAAGGGAGGGGGACATGTTTCCCTGTCCCCAACTGATTGACGTACATGTATAAATGAGACTGTTTATCTTATTTGTTGCAGTTCCTGAGGGACCACAAGATGCTGGGAGCTCTGAAGCATGTAGTTAAAACGTGCAACAAGGATCAGTTTGTTAAAGCCTACAAGGACTTGTTTGAAAAAAAGGTAAATCCCGCCTCTTTAGTAGTTCTAACCAATAAAATCCTAGTTCCGGAAGTGAGGCAATTTAATCTGTTGAAATTTTCCAGCTTGCTGCCTACCTGCTCTAGATACCTACTCGTATTTGTGTAGCAAATTTGTATTTTTCTTAATGAGTTCCACCAGTAGAATAAAAGAGGACGAAATGGAAAATCAGAAAATTTGATTTTGTTGCCATTTAAGTTGGCATCAGCAGAGGTTAGAAAGCAGTTTCATTGTTAGCAATTCTCCTTTCTCCCTGGCTGACAGCATAAAACTTGCTGATCCAGTGCTGTGTGTCCTAAGAACTTGTGTTCCAGTTTATGATCCATATGAGCCACAACTACTAGTGAACCAGCACAGTTTACTGTCAGTTGGATTTGGCACTTAAAAGCCATACCTCTGATTTACTCTGTTCATTTGAAAAATGGTCAAATTTATATCAGGTTGAATGCCAGTGGTACAAAACTGTTGATACCTGCCAGGAATATCACTGATGTGAGTGAGTCGCAAAGCTACCCCAGATTTAGACAGATCATACACAGAGCAGTAGTGAATGAGGTAACAAAAGGTATACTCAAACCCAGAATGCACTGGGCACTTTGATGGATGGATGCCTTCTGGTTTGTTGTACCTCTTTGGTTGTGATCTCTGTCCGTCAGGCTTTTAAAGGACCAGGCGACGATGAAGAAGAACTAGAGGAAGTCACCAAAAAGACGGCAGAGGTCCATGTCAAGCCCAAGCCCAAAGAGGAAAAGGTATGAAGCTAAACAGCACCTGTTGCTCAGTCATGAACACCAGCCACCGGTCATGTCTGATTTGCCCCTTAAGGGGCTTTCCAAAATCTCTTGAGAGTATTTTCTTTGTGCTCAAACTTCCAAGGATCATCAATCCCTGCATGAAGGGCCAGGCTCTACCTGGTGTGCATGTATCTGTATTAGTTCAGGAGGGTTGGGGTAAAAATGCTCATTCTGTGTTTAAAGTTGCAAAACTTGAGACAGGGAGGTTTGAACAGGTTCTGATTCCTTTCAAGGAATGTTTGTATCTTTTGTGTCAATAATCTTTTGAATTAACATAAGTAGTATCAAACGGATGAATGTTTATTTGTATTCTGGGCTTCTGCATACCACAGGTTGCTGAGGTGCCTCACTTTACCAAGAAGATAGTGAAGCAAGGAGACAAGAGCACCTTCCCTAAAAAGGGAGACTATGCCTCTGTGTGGTACACAGGCAAATTGACTGATGGCACGGTATTTGATACCAACATCACGACAGGTACATGAGGGAAAATCTCAGCTAATCAGAAATCTAAACTGCTAGCCATTGAATGTGTGAGAAGCTTGAAGATCTGTGTCAGTCTTGTTTTTGGTTCAGAGCCTCGATTTTTATTGGCATAGACGTTGTACAGTATTTCTGCACTACACAGTGATTGTCGGTGGGGTGCATCTATGGTGGTCTGTCTCATGAATGTGTATACATGAAAATTTCTGGCCAAAATCTCTGATTTAAATGCCGCCAAAACAAGTTTGAAATACACCAAAATGTGGGCATTTTCTTTTCTGGGTGTGTATGTTTCTGAAAGAAGTGTTACTTATAAAAGATGGACCAGGAACAATTTTATAGCACTGGGGCCATAGTGGTACATGTCTGAAGTCGGCAACTTAAGAAATGTCGGCACACACAAGTTTTTCTTGAAAACAATTAATAATGGCAGAATATTTAATGAGGACTTGTGCGAGCTAAGTCACAACAGCTTGTCTGGACATGTACTTGATGGATCTTTTTGAGGTAAAAATATCCATGCCCTTTATAGCAATAATGTGTAGCAAGATTTTCTGCATAAGAGTTGGCCAAGTTGCACATACTTGGCAATTGTTTTCCATGGCCCCTGCATTTCATGTACATGTACCCATGAACGATATTGACCAAGTCACGTGTTGGCTGGTACTCCTTCGTTTCTTAGGTCTTGAGTCATTATCATCAGTTCCCACCATATTTCTTATGTTTGAAGTAAATTTACAATCTTCAGGAAAAAATTGGGAAGTCAAGGGGAATGCTTAGTATACTCAAATGTTCAGTATAGCAGTGATTGGTATAGCAGTGATTGGTATGGCAGTGATTGGTATGGCAGTGATTGGTATGGCAGTGTTGTACTGCATGTTTATTCATAAGCGGTGACTTAGTGATTTTATGTGCAAAAACGTGTTACAGGCAACGTTTGTTAACATCACCAACATTTTTAAAGTGGCACTTTAAAGTTTTGTTGTATGGGTCTTTCATGTTATTTATGTTTAGGAACAGCTGATTTTTGAGACTTCAGCACACATCATGTTCCTTTTTGTCTAAACTTTGAACTTTTGTGTTTCTAACAAATGCCCCATTTAGGTCAAAACATCCTGAATGAAGCTTGTTTCAAACTAATGTCTGTCTTTACATGGTCTGGTAATCAACTCCAAATGTCATACAGCAGATCACATATTGGTCCTTAAAACGTGAGATGCCTGCAAAATTTAGATGTGTTGACTGGAAATCCTCCAGGCAATGGAGACACATGATGATTGCCAACAAACATGACATGACATCATTTGTTCAAAGGAAAAATTCTCCCTATTTCTTTTTCTGATCTTCCTTCTCTCAAAGGCAAGAAAAAGAAAGCTGCCACACCTCTTAAGTTCAAGGTGGGAACTGGCCAGGTCATTCGAGGTGTAAGTGCCCCCAAGTTAAAAGCATGTTTGACAGAAACAGCATTTTTGGTCAAACATCTTGTCAAAAGCTCACATAAAGTTGCAAGGTTTTTGAAGTCACTTTGTCATGGTCATTTTTTAATTAACTGATTACCACCTCTGGATAGCTGACCACTGAGAAGCTTGTTTGAACAGTCAAAAAACACTCCATGCACTGTGAAGTAACAGTAAAAACCTATACCCAGCAAGAAATGAGACCGAGGGGTACCCCCCCAACATGTCCGATCCCTATACACATTCCAGACTATTGTTACTTAACACATCCCCCCAAGATGTCTGAGAGGAATTCCCCAGATTCCTGCGAGACAATGACCAACACAAAGCAGGGGGGTTCTCTCCGTCTCATACCTTGCTGCATATGTAAAAACCAGTCACTCTGACATACAGGTGTTCAATTCCTAACAGGCAGAAAATAGTCACGCGATTGGTTTTGACTGATGGGGGATCATTCCTCATTTCGTCCCCGATGGAAGGAAGGTTGAAGCAGTCTGTGATATATCTTTTCTTATGCACTTTAAAATAAATGCCCCCCCTCCAACCATCGTTTCCTTTCTTTTCTTTCTTTGTTAATCTGTTGCATCTGTTCCCTCTCCTTTCAGTGGGATGAGGGAGTTTTGACTATGTCCTTGAATGAGAAGGCGGAGCTTACCATTCAGCCTGACTGGGCGTATGGAAAGAAAGGAAAGCCAGAGTCAAAGTATCCTTTTACCCGAGACATTTTGTAAACATTGACCTGTCTCATTTTTGTTACTGCATCAATTACAAAGACCAGTGCTGATTGGCTCCAGCTTTTCCTGTGTACCACTGTACTTGATGAGCACCTTTGGACTTACTTGAACAGAACTTTTACAAGAATTTTTGCGGATGACACCAGTAGAGATTTCATTCATCTTTTGAGGAACAAATTGAGATCAAATGAAATGAATTTAAATGAATTCGGTTCTCATTGTAATTTCTTGAGTCATCGATGAGCTGCCAAAAATGTGTCTTCTTGGTAACTTCTTGTCTCCTTGGTAACCGCTCCATGGCTCTCTTTTTATAAATCACTCTTATTCTGCCTGTCTACATGTACATGCTGAACTCAAATCTTGCAAAACACTGCTGTATAGAACCATAACTAGTCATTTTCTAACAAGTGTGTTTAAAATTAGGTACATGGTATATATGTTGTTTGCTACTGGAAGTAGTTGTTAAATGACAAAGGAACTTGCAGCCGATTTCACAAAACGTGGCATAACCAAGGACCATGCGTAAGCCTTATGCCACAAATTTAGGCCGTAGCTGCACAATATACTTGCGTTCATTTTCACGGAGAGTCGCATAGCTGTGCCACGTTTTAATAACATGTTGTTAAGTTTAGCAATGATAGGGCTTAACTGAACACGATAAGCTTGTTGAATGGTTCATTTTTGTTTCGTTTGTCGCAACTGACACCACCTAAAATGACTGTGTAAGTTATGCCATAAGTTGTTGTGTAAGTCACAGACTTATGCAGTGCGTAAGTTTCAAGAAATCGGTCTTAATTTGTTGCACAACTTACGCAATAAAATGTGAAAGTTTTGTGAAATTGGCTGCTGGACCATTGTAAATATAGAATAGAAATGGTGGTATACATTCACATGTTACGGCAATGTTTGCACATTGAAGCCCACTGGAACCATAATACGACTCGCTTCTTGATCAACTTGCATGATGTCATTTGCAGACTTGGCTGGTTATAACTGGCTGTTCCCTTAACTGAGTTTCTCACAGGATACCACCCAACGCTACTCTGATCTTTGAGGTGGAGCTGATCGGCATCGACTGATGAGCGATGTGCCTAACTCAACTCATTCTCCTGCCTTTACAGAAAAATGGTGCATGCTGTAGTGAAGGGAGTGGCCTGAACCTATTCTATACTACCAACGCTGGGAATAGCAATGGGGCTGGTGATACTGTGATTGAGACAGAAAGCTCATGATTCCATATGTAATATGTGATCCTTTGGGCTTGAAGAATGTGTGCATGAATGAATCAGATATGCAAGGATATATTCAATATCATAATGATATTAATCAATCGACAGTGTTGTAGTTGTGTACTTCACAAGTACCAGTATGTTTCACTGGTCATGACCAACGTTTCCACTTATAATGGATGGGTAATATATTACAGCTATGACATGGTTCGTGACTCACATTGAGGCTAGGGTGCTAATGACTGCTTGCAAAGATGTGTTATGACCTGAGAAACAGTTGTGAGTAATTGTGACTCATATTGAGATTGGGGTTCCAATGACTGCTTGTGCAGACTTATGTTTTGAGAGGTTGTGAGTACTTATAAAGAACTCTACCACAACACTGATACTTGACAAGATGAAATCTAACTGTACATTACTGGCTTGGCAGTATTCACAGATTTTTATTGTTGTCCTTTAGTCAACTGGCAAGAATCCACCGTAGGTTTGAGTGCACAAGTGCGTTAACTAGAATTGGTTTTCACCATTGTGAACTGAAATCTGCTTGTGCTAACAGTCAAAGTTTAAACATAAGGCGTATGTTTTACAGTATAATTGTGATTCTGTTCAAGCTGCTATGAAACATGTTTCTAGAGTGAACTGGAGTGTGCTGAGTTGCACCCAAGTATCATCCGGATGATTACATTGTGTGGTATTTCTTGGTTTTTATTTTGAAAGTTTGAGCTACCCTCACAGTGTTTTATCTAATGTATTCCTTTTGAATCAAATTTGCACTCTAAATGAAACCACATCTGATGTGATTTCTAATTTGATGGCTCTTCATATTTCGCTTCCTGGTTATTGCTTTATTTCATTTTCAGAGGACATAAATTGTAGTTCAGAGGTTAGGGGACAAAATTGTGGTGGGTAAATTTTGTAGCAATTAGAAAGTAGTCTTAGAATCCAACTGAATAAAAGTTTTTGTTGGCTGTTGTTTAAAATGCTCTGAGCAGAGTTATGACAGACAACAGAAGACAGAGACTTGTCAGTTGAAAGCATTGTTAACAATACATTTAATGCATTGTTAAAGCCAATGTGTCAGTATGCTCGCTGTGTAACTGCTCATATTTTCTTAAAAAATAACAGTCTATTTTAAGTTGCGATTACAGATCTTTTATTTTTTGCTTGGTTAAAAACCTTGAGCTAAATTTGTTGAAACATTCAAAGAGGCATCTTTTTTTCTTTTAGGTAGTCATTTATGATGTAACAAGAAAGGAATTTTTTAACTAATGAAAATCCTTAAGTAGCTTATCATAGTTTTATTCTAGCTTTACATTTCTTGATATTGATATGGTTTTCCCAACAGAAACATCAGTAGAAATCTGTTTTTGCTATTCAGTACTTGGCCCTGTCATGACAGCCTGATGCTCGGGAGATTAGATTAGTCTGGGGGTCGGATTTTACTTTTAGTATGCATCAAATTGTTGTTTTGAGCTCTTTAATTTTCCAAATGTTCGTCTTGAAAAAAAAATTCCTTCTTATATTTTATGAACCAAAATGTTGCTTTTCTATAACAAAATACACTAACGGAACCATCTTTTTCATCACCATTGTGCTTGATGATAAATCTTATCACTGTTCTTTTTTGAAGTGGTAATGATTATTTCTTTAAAAATGTGTAGAAATCACCACTGAAAAAATTAAAACATTGTTTCTTATTCAACATATTAAGACTTGAATTTTAAAAAAATTAGTTATTACCATCCCTCCAGAAGCAATGTCAGATCATCTAAGAATAGATGATCTGACCAGAGGATACTGTGGTTGTACTAAGGGGGATGAGGACAAAGCCAGTCTGCTTGAGGTATATACCTTCCCCCTCCCCCCATTAGATATCTGGTAATAGTCTGCCTTGGTCAGTAGTTTAATTGTGACTGTATTGACTTCACCCTCCTGCCAGAAGATGAGGGCCCAGTTAGGGGGATTGTGTATTTGGAGACCCTGTGCCCATAATAGAACGGAGAATTTTAAGTTTTGGACCCACCTAGACCGAAGATAGTGACACCATGTTAAATAGATGCAGGGTTAATTTTGTGGACAGAGGACTGGGTTTAGATTTTTGAGGGCAATCAATCATGTGGTAAGTATTGTTGGTGTTAATACACATGCATGAAGGAATAACTTTCACATGGTTGGTAATCGGTCAAAAAGTCAGATTTTGTCACACTTCACAAGTCTAAATTCACAAATAACAAGATGAGCATAATAAAGAAAACATTGCCTTTGGTTGCATTCTTTTTGGTACTGACCTGTTTTGTAACAATGATAAAAACTGAGGGTCCCGAAGTACATAATCCCTAATTGTGGTTCCCCGCCCCACAACTTGTACCAGTGCCTCAGTTACAGAGCAATAAACTGATATGATGCATATGCGGCCAGGATAAATTCACACAAAAAGGGTAAAGCAACAGCCAACAGAGGGCGCTAGTTGTGGTACGTACGTGCCGCGCCGCCTGCTGGGGTTCACAGGTCTCATATGCATCGATCATAGGCCTGTGCATCGAGCTGAGTACATGTGATGTAGGTGGGCCCTGCACAAAAAAAGGATGGCAGATGAAGAAGATGACTACATGTCCGATTCTTTCGTAGTTGAAAGGTATGGAGCAGTCATCACAATGAATATGAAAATGTTGGCAATCCTTAGTTATTGAGTGGACATTTCTCGATACACGGGCCCTGTGACGCATAAGTCCCAACTGCAGTGCTGCAGTTGGGCTGGCCCAACTATTGTTGACCCATGTCTGTGGGAAATGTCTCAACATTATCCAAGTCAATGTGTCTCACACTTGACAAAATTCATCTAAAATGTGACACTTCATCTGTTCATTTAGCCCGATGACATGACATTTTAAAACAATGACTTTGGCACATGCTGGGCACATCATGCACACAGGACCTCGCTGCCGTAGTTGGGCCGGCCCAACTGTGGCACTCTACATGTAGTTGGGACGGCCTAACTATATTTTGGACTGATGCTATAGTTGGGGCATAACAGCCCTGCTGACCCTGTGTGCGCCTGTGCCTGGCTTGGCCAGGCTTATATAAGACTGGTCTGAAAAATTCTTTCTAAGTAGGCTAGGCCTAAATGCTTCAATATTTTTCCTGCTAAAGTTGACTTTTTAGGACATGTTACCACTGTCTCATGACTAATAA